GAGTTCTGCTCTGTTTTCCACTCACATTCTTCAATCTATCAAGTGAGTTCATACCCCTATAACTACGTTTTCAAATGCTTGTAAATGCTTTTATACACTTTTAAAGGGGGAAAATACAAGTAAACACTCGATTATCCTCGTGTGAATAACATAAATCTTCTGCTATACTTTTGTTATAATCAATCATATGTGATTTATAAACATAATACGAAAACGTTCTCATGCAACATATCACGATAACACTTTGTCCGTTTTGATAGCACATATAACACATAACATACAATTGTTCCTATATATTGAACTCACCTTAAAATAATTTGGGGTTAAAATAGTAATTTGTGCAGCACTTCGGCTCTATAAATAGCTTTCGTCGTTGAAAACCGGGAGATATATATTGAAAACCGGGCTCTGAGAAGGTAGAGCTTCAAAACCGAAAAGATAAATTGTTTGGGCTTCTCGGGAGTCTCGGGGCGTGTTTTGGGCTTTGGAATCAGTATCGGGGCTTCGGGGGAAGTCAAAATAGTGAAAAATATGGAAAAAGGGGCCAAAAATGGTCATTTCTTAAAATTACACGAGCTGGTTCACAGCCTCCTTATTTATAGGTGAGGTGCGAAGGTCGGCCGAGAAGGAAGAGTCAGCAGCGAGGAACACTCAGCAGCAGCAGAGCGAAGCAAGTAGCAGCGAGGGAGAGAGACACGCATGCGAGGTCGAACGCATACTGGTCTGCGGTTCGGTCCACTCGGAAGGTGACAGGAGTGCCAGGCGCGTCGGAAGGAGATAGGCCGAGACTTCAGTCGAATCAAGGGGTTGCACGGGTCGGATCCGGGTAGAGCGGTTACTGTTCATGCGAAGTTTCTCGGAAAATGGGCCCAAATCTTCTAAAATCCATAACTTTCGCATACGAGCTCCGTTTTTCACGTTCTTTATATGTACACGTAGCTAAAATTATGCTCTACAATTTTTGTTTAGACTTCATCGGCTAATTTTAAATTTAATTTTAATATTATTATTTTTAACAGATCGGGACAGGAAAATCCGTTAAAAATTCATAACTTTTTCATCCGACATCCGTTTTCGTCAGACTTTTTACCGTTGTACTACTAATGACGAGACCTTCAATTCTCATTTAGGTTGTGTCGGCTAAAAATTACTCAATCTAAAATTCGATTTTTTAGCTGTCTACTGCCAAGCTAAAACTTCGAAAAATCATAACTTCCTCATACGAAGTCAGATTTTGGCGTTCTTTTTATCGAACTTCTTGGTTTAACGAATAATACAAATTTAATTTAGATTACTAAGGCTAAAAAGTAGTTTATCAAAAACTTACTTTTTACGTCATTCGGCGTCGTGCTGGTTTTGTCGCGGATCTTCGATTGGTCATAACTTCTTCGTTATAACTCAGATTTCGACGAGGTTTTCGCCTAAGCACTTCTAACGAGATTCTATACAACACCAAATAATAAAATTTTACTTATTTCAAATTTTATATTTTCTCTAACTTTTCATTATTTGGCTATTAATTGGAATCTCATAAGACTTCCAATATTTTATGAGTGATTCTAAACATAGTTTTACTTCATTTCTAGTAAAAACTATCTGTTAGAACTCAACACTCAATTTTATTCACTTTTAATAATAACAATACACAATTTCAGAACGTGTATGTTACACTATGATACGATTATTGTGATACTACGCATGACGTCACCCGCCCCCGGATGTTTCCGTCGTCTGTTATGACGGTTCGAGGGTGTGACATCAAATATGATTCATCTCTTAATAAAACCATTTCTAACAATATTTGATTCTTCTTCTTAGCATAAAATTGCACTAAGATGTTCTTTGAGGATCAATTGTGATATAATTCCACAATCACTAAGATGATCATAAAACGTGCTACTAAAGTACTCTCCTTTCATTTCAGATTGAAGAATTTTTATCCTTCTGCCTAATAGATTCTTCGATTCATTTTTCTACTCTTTGAATCTTTTCAAACTATTAGAATTATGCTTAATCTTATAAACACGACCATATTTACTAAAGCATCAGCAAATAATGACGAATATAGTTATCATCCTGTGCGGTGGATCTAAAGATAACAAAATGTACAAGGTCCATTAATCCATCACTTACCTCACATAATCATGTGAACAATGACTCTATCATAATTTCTCCAATGATTAAAACTCTCATGCATCATCCAATTCGAATTATATTACTCCAAGTATCTGTCCAATTGAAACTTGGTAATGAGATCTCCTTTCAATTGGTCAAATTTGACAATACCACAAGCACGATTTTATAAGAATCACATCCACAAATAACTTGATATCATTAGAAACACACTCATTAATGTCAATGGAAGGAACTATAAGACAATAAAACTTTATTTTATTGATAAAAGAAAATTGGAACTTATCCTTACAATGAATAAAAGAAAACTATGTTTCAAGACATCTCCAAAGAGTAATAGCAAACTATTAAAGCTATTCTAACTCCTTGGTGGTAGTTCAAAATCGAACCATGCGATAAAAGTCATTTCTCACCATCAGATTTAGCTTGCTTTTCTCACCATCAAAATACTAGGTTTAAATAGTAAGTATCTAAATTAAACTTTTAATTGATTAATATTAAACCAATTATGATTTATCTTTATCCTTTAATCAAACACTTAATTGAATTAATTAAATCATTTAGGAGTTAAATAATTATCTTTAAACTAAATTTTAATTAATTAATTCAGATTTAATCCCTACCTTCTAATTTTCAAAATTAGGGTTAAGGGTTACCAAGTTTTAATTATTCAAATTTTAAGACAATTAAAATAATAATTAAGAAAACTAGAAACCCTAAGGTAATTCTTGAAAACAAGGGGAATGAGAAACCCTAGCAAAGTCGAAATTTTCAAGGGCTAGGGTTTATTTTGGATAAACCCTAATCTTATGATCCATTCAAGTTATGTGCAATAATAGAAAACAATGGCTCTAAAACATGTAAAGCGGAAAATCTTAACTTTAAGTTCACATGCAACTTACTTTAGATCTATGTTTTTTTCTAATTAATAGTAATATATAGTGAACATCAAGAACCCTAATAAACCGTAAATATTTTGCAAATACAAAAAGGATTAGGGTTTACATAACTTAGATTTATTATAGCAAATAAATCTTATTCCTTTCCTTGTTGGTCTTCAAAAAGTAAGCACCAAAAATATGACTGTCTCTAATGATTCACACCAAAAACCCGCGAAACTAGAAGGCAAAAGTATATAAATATTTATTATGGAATAGAGCATAATCTGATATTGTATCTTATCAATGGCATAATAATAACCAAATTTTATTATTATGGGTTAGATTACTCAATCTCCCCATTTAATTTGGTATTTTGTTCAGATAGATGTGTATAAATCCTTTTTTTGAAGTTTTTTTCTTTTAATTAGTTATCATAATGAGAAAGCATATAAACAACAAGATGCGGTTTAAACCTTTTTGCATGATAAAACGAATTCCTTTAATCAAAATGCTTTTGTAGTTTATAAACCTATAAAATATCACAAGTTATCAATCCACTCTACTTTGGAAGCAACTACCCCTCCTACTCAATACTTTGTAAGATTATTTTAATGTTTATTTAATCAATTTCCACCTAGTTGGTACGTAAAAAAAACTGATACCTAAACATTGAGATATGACATCGATACAAAAATTAAATACTTATTTAGTGTTTCTCATGTTTTTTTGGAATATATATATATATATATATATATATATATATATATATATATATATATATATATATATATATATATATATATATATATATATTATGTTTTAAATATTATACTTAATTGATTAAGGTGCTTTTTCATCATCTTATGTACAGCTTACAATAAAATTTATAATGTGAACAACTCAACATATATGATAAATACACCTCCCAAAATAGGTTTAAAAGCCCATTTTAAATTTAATTTTTTTTTAAAGTATTTGTATTGTTATAAACTTGTGAAATGATATATATAGTAACAACTATATTTTGTTGGTTCTAAAAAGAATGATGTTTTAATATATGAAATAAAAAATCCCTTGCGTAGCAAACCAAACTATTTTAAGGCAAGTACATTGCGGTATTTGTCCCTTAATCGGGTTTTACTGAATACGGCGTTATGCAAATATAGGAATGTGATGTGCAAAGCAGATCAAACACCATCACATGTTACTTTTAACCCCACTTTCTAAATTAAAAATTCTTGTCTGCATATCGAATTTTTTCAAATTCCAGATTTTAAAAACATTTTGCCTAAGAATATTGGTTGAGATAATTGTTTGATTTGTTTGTCAACAGGATCGAATAACAGCCGTTTTGGGCGCAGACTTTCACATCCATTCACGAACCAGATTATTGCTGAAAGTTCACATCACTTGTTCCAAAATAATTTGGGCATTTGCCATAGCTTCATTGTTGGCTTTATTTTGGCAGCACAAAGCCATTTGTTCCAAAAAAAAAAAAGACCTTGGAGGAAAAAAAGAAAAAAAAAAAAGCGATTGGATAGATTTTGTAGCAAAAAACGAGTATACAACTTGAATAATGAAATATGTTAAAATCCCTAGACAAATTGAGACAAGAACACAAAATATGAAAGACTTACCGAGAACGCAACACTAAGAGTATTCTATAGGTCTTCTACAAAAATAAATAAATAAATAAAAGGTGTGGTTAATTGGTCCGGTAACCTGGTCAGGATCACCAGGTGTTTCTTCTGTCTAGTTATAAAAAGTAATGACCCCAAAAGCAGATAATGTAAACAAAAGACACACTATAAGTATATAACCCTCCTCATTCATTATTGCATCCCTGGCTTTGAATATGTGTTACTTGGTTGTGGCACGTGAAGTGACAAATAAATACAAATTACATCACCCGAATAGACACATTGTTGAAAAAAGCAGCACGCATGAACATGAGATCTAAGTAAGAATGCAAAACCAAAAAAGGATCCTACAACTACAACAAAGGGTAGTAGTTTTTGTATGTAACAAAAGATTCCTTTCTCCTCTTGTCTTGTCAAAAAAATAAGCCCTTCTTTTTCACCTTTTTTTTCTCGGCAGCCTACAACAGAGTTTCAAAGACATTTGATTAATTATCAACTTATAAAAATAAATATTTAATGGTTGGTAATAAACTAACTAATAAGTACTAATGACCAAAACCAAAGCTTTCTGAGACCATTTGCTAAAGGTTCAAGTGAAGCCTTACCCTATTGATAAAGTATCTCAGGGTGAGCACAATGACATCCCTTGAACTGCATAAACCAAATGTTTGCTTAGAGACAATCGATAAATAGAAACAATAACAATAAACAACCAAGATTCTTCCTTGAAAAAAACAAAAAACAAAGTATGGTTAGATCGATCATGGCATGTTTGGAAGGAATTTAATTCCATGTTTGATGGACTACTCTAAATTTTACAACCTCCACTCCATTAAGTTCTATTCAGATAAATTAGTAATGCGTGATGTATTACTTCTTTATGAATGAATGAATGAATGAATGATTGATAGACAAGTGCAATCCTCCCTAAGCAGACAAACATAAATAGCAACATACTTTCATGTACGTACTATAGCATCCTACTTTCTAATACAGCATTGTAATTTCAATTTTTTTTATTATCAACACATTGTACTTGGAACAATCTAGCATTGCAAGTTGAGTTTTCTCTTACAGGACATCAATCATTATACTATAAGAAAACGAAAAATCTACCCAACTATATTTGGAAAGCAGAGTGTTGTAAAAGGAAGAAATGTTATATATAATTAACAAATCAAGGAAAGCAGCATGTTGCTGTTTATAATATATGTATCACCACCTTATAGTATCTGATTCTTGCTCCACCCGAAGCCGTTGCTCAACACCTCCCAAACCAATAATGGAAAACTCTACAGGATTTCCACACGGAATATAAACCTGAAAATGTCAATTCAATTTTTTTTTTTTTAAATCTACTTGGATTAAAAGAAACTGAATTATCATTTTTAGGGAGAAAAGCATATAATAGTACCCTTGTGTTGGGAGAAAACTTCTCATTGAAGGGAGTAGTACCACCTTTTATGTTAATTCCATCTTTTCTGATGACTAATGTAACTGGCTCCCATATCTCAAGAAATCCTGTCTGCACATTAACAAATTAAGGGAAAAAAATTACATTATTTCTAATACTAAAAGGGGGTAAATTCAAAAGATAGCAACCTACTTACTTCTATTCATTTGTTTATTATTTCATTTTCATTTTTTTACTTTGAAAATAGCAACCTAATTATAGCATTTCAGATTTGATTTTTTTTACTACTAGAACCATTATACTATTAGTGACATTTCCATAACTAGGTAGATTTTTCAAAGTACAATGTCATAGTAGGAAGAAATTAAAGTAGGTGAATGAAAGTAGGTTGCTATTTCATGCATACAAGCCTATGTAGCAAAAAAAGGTTGAAGAAACAAAAATTGAAGTATATTTTTCCCATAAAGAGCAGTTTGGATAAAATATTTGAGGAAATGACGGTTACAAGTTAGGCCTTCATGTGGAAAGCCTCCATTCTAGTCCTTTTTGCAGTAAGTTAAGTCAAAATAAGTAAGCCAACAACAAACAAACACCACTATAGACTATAGAGGCATACCCATAAAGACAATCTGTGTTCAGCATGACCAGTCTGAAGAGCTTTTCTGATATTGTCATGCATATCAGGATCTGTAAGAATAAGGAAAATCTCATAGTTTAGAAACCTTTGTATCAAAAAGATGAATTAGAAAAAGCTTACCACAGACAATTTTTCTGTGCTCATTGGCGAAAACCTTTACAAGTTCACCCTGAAAATGGAATAGAAACACAAACACAGTCATAACAGCTCATAATATAATAATATTTATAGTCACATGCATATACCAGGTCAAGATAAAAGGTTATACATTCATTCCACTTTAGGGCCAACAATCTAATATGATTATAATATAATGAATAGTGTTTGTTGTTGTTACATGGTTTTTTTCAATATAAAGACCTAATATGATTATAATATAATACATACATACATACGGATATGACTTATATTTTTTCAATATAAAGAACTAACATAACATTATTACATATACATGTCCATCACATACTATACTATACAATAAAGGAGTAAATGTAACAAATATAGCAATGCACTTTCATTTATTTCTACTACCACACTATTAGTTTCAATATTTTTCCTGACAAGGCATTATTGTACTTTGATAAATCTACCCAATTGTAATTGTTTTCTTATCTCCCTGATTATTTATGCAGTGAACGTTGTTTTGTACACAGCTTTGCTTTTGTATGATAACATTTCTCAAAGTAAAATCTTACATGTAATAAAGAGTAAGATGGTATGGAATGGATATACCATTTTGTTGGCAACAATTACAAATATTAAGCAAATAATAATAATAATCAAGTGTTGGAAAAGAGAGAAGAAAATACATTACCTTTCGCTTTCTGTTATCCATGGGTTGGACTTCAATGGCAAGGCATGTATCAACATCATCCGCAGTAACAAGATAATTTGGCTGCTTTGCACCTACTTGATAATTTTCCCCATCAAAATATATATTTTATAAAAAATAAATAAATAAATAAGAGCATAAGGAGGAATACCTTCTATATAACTAACAGATCCATCTTCCATATGCCGCACCCACTGCCAAATAAATAAGTAAGGCTATAAAGGCATGCTACAAGAAATTCATAACTCAACTTCTTCAAGTAAAACATGCAAGAAATATCAATCTACTTTTATTTATTTGTACAGAAAAATAACAACATACTTCCATTGATTTGTTTATTATTATTATTATTAAAGCATGCTCCTTGATAGCATTGCCATTTTTTACATGTATAATATATTTGAACTATAATTAGGACACTGCTATTAATAGCAGGGGAAATTAAAGTAGTATGTTATAATAAACAAATAAATGAAAGTAGGTTGCATTTAACAATTGGAAATTGAAAGTTTACCTCAAAATTACAACTTGTAGTTCCATTGAGGGAGTATCCACTAGCTTGAAGTTCTCGACCTGGAAAAGCTTCGCCTGAAATTTGGAGGGAATCCACTGCAGGTAATGGATCATCATCTGCAGCTGAACATCATAATATTAATAAATAATTATACTGAAAAAAACAAGGCTAAATGTTATGCAGGTACTTTCCATTTCCTTGTGTTAAAATATCATACTTTTCAACAAGACTTTATACCAATTAAATTATTACAACAGGGCAGGGCAAATTGTTTTGAATTTGGATTGGATGACCTTGCTTTAACTAGAAAGTCGTAATAGAAAGAAATGGAAGTATGAGCGTTGAACATCATAACAGATGACAGGGCTAAATGCAGAAAATAACAACATACATACTTTTGTTTATTTGATAGCATCCTACTCTACCATTTCTTTCTAATGCACTCATATTGTTATAGATAGCACTCTAGTACTATTAACTTTTTTTTCTTGTTACTTTGATGCTACAGTTCTTGCATTCATGATTTGACCAATATAAAATAAAATGTGTGGCTGTAGATGTGGCTTACCTTCAGAGTATGAAGAATCAGGTTTTTCGGGCACTGGAGTTAAATATGGAGAATATGAGTGGGGCTGGGGCTGGGGATCTTCAAGGGGGGTCTTGGAATTCCAATCGACAAATGGTTCTCCTCCTCCTCCTCTGCCCTCGTTATGGCCTTCAAAATCATCAACATCATTATTACTGCTAACAGGGTCGCTAAATGTAACTTGTTTGTTGCTGGTTTCCTCATTTTTACTACTTGTGGTTGTAGGATATGAATCACCACCTAATCCTATGTGTGCGCTTCTCCCTACACCATTATTATTATTACTGTTTCTGCACAAGTCAAACCAATTGGATTCGAATCAGAAACAATCATACTTTCGTTCAAACTCTTTAAATATTACATTTAATACTTTTGTGAATACGTTTAAATTAATGAGGGTACTCTCATCTTTTAATTTTTTTAAAGAAAAAAAAAAAAAAAAAAGAGTTTCGATGGAATCGAGTTCCATCCATCCAGAAAGCAAACACACCATGGGTATCAATCCAAAATTTTTGAACCAAATCAAATGGAGCATGTAGCAACAAAAAAAATGAAGAATTATAGAGGTCATGTCTCATGTGAACTCATCATAACTCTCCCCAAGTTTTTAGTGCAAAACACTTATTTCTCTGTCTATTATTGATTGTGTTGACTGACTTGACTTGAGAGAGTTCAAGTTTGTAAACTTTATCAAATGGGAAATAATACTTTATAACTAATTGTGTTGTGGAGTTGTAATTGTAACCTGTTTAGAAGAGGTGAATACCTCCCTGAATCAGGCTCTGAAGTTTCTGGAACACCAGCTGCAACTCCAACTCCATCCCACCCTCTTGGAGTTGGATGGTCTGATGAAATTGGTATTTGTCCATCAGAGTATGCTTGTTGTGTAACCAATTCAAGCCCATTTTTGTTCTATATAAACATTACAATAATTATAAGATTTTATAACATAATCATGAGTCATGACCAAATTAAACTGATATTATGTACATACCCCCCCAAAAGAATACATCGGTGATTGTGCAAAACTTGAATCAGAACGCCAGGCTGCTAGCTGATATTGAGACTCTTTTAGCTTTGTCTGCAGCCAAACAAGTTTGCAAATCAAGCATAATAGCTGTAGACCATGTACTTTATGTTAACCATAATAGCAGCATAGTCCCATTAACATACATGATACAAATATGTAAGCTGAAACTTGTAAAACTCGTGAAATCTTATTTTTTCTATCCCTAATAGAAACGAATTATACTTCTTTACACATAATAGCAGCATACTTTAAGTTTTGCAATATAAGTGAGTTGCTACAATGAGTAAAAATAAAGTGCATCGATAAAAAAAAAAAAAATGTAAGTACACTGTTATTAAGTTTTGACCATATTAACAAGCACAGCATACCTCAATTCCTATGAGCTTCTCTTGCAAATGCCTAAAAAGAACCTATCAACAGAAAATTTTCCAACAATCATATATCAAGGAAGAGAATGTTTAAACCAATAAAGATCATTAATCACACTCCTTGGATGTTAATCTAAAAAAAAACGCGGTTGGATATTACGTCAACAGATATCTGAAAATAATAGGGACAGTAGAAAATCTAGTTAATATCAATCTCTTAAATGAAAATATCTCAACTCTCGAGGATGTATGCTAGTTTCCATTTCTTCTATCATCATCTTCACTTTAATGTACTAATCCCTAAGACAGTGGTTGGTATGATGAATGAACGCAATGATTCATTCCCTTGGAATGAAAAAAAAACGATTGTTTCCTTTGTCTAATGGAATGAATGTGAGTTCATTCTTTAGCCAAGGGCTATTTTATTTTTCGTTCCATCATTGAATGGAATAAAAAAACTGCAATACAACCCACTTACATTTATTTAACTTTTAATGACAAGTCCTTTTTAGAAATTTCTAAGATTTTAAATAAATTGAAACTGTATATTCTAGAAATAACAAAAGATACAAATTTCAATAAATTCTATATTGTAATCTCAGTTTGGTTTTAATGAGATTTTTAATCATCTTATTATGTTTTTTTTTTATGTTTGTGTATAACTACTTTTTCATTTAATCAAATCATGAATTGAGTAGAGTTATAACTACACATCATATCTACATATAATATAAAAAAAAAAAAAAAAAAAAAAAAAAAAAAATCATTCGAAAAGTTCATTTCATTCCTCCTAGAAAGCAAACAAACATGATCATGCAAGGTAGTGACTCATTCCATCAACTTGCTTATTTCATTCCTCCATCTGTTCCATTCTGTCCAACCAAAAAGGCTGTAAGCTCAGAATGTGACTTACAAACGCTGTTGATTGGTTGATAAAGGGACTTTGGTTGTATTCCTATCATTTTTTATTTCTATTTATCTCCCATTCTAACTAAGGACCAATATTGTAGTTACTAAAAGACATAATATAAACTTCAAACCTTAACATTACTAACGATGGACTGAGCATCAGCAACTGGTGGCTGAAGAGAATACTCCGCAAGAAGAGGCATCAAAGATGATATAAATGTTGTTCTTTCTTCTTGTGCATCCTGCAAACAACATAATGCAATCTTTTTGGATACATTCTATGTATAACTTTACAAAATCCAACAGACAGATTTAAACATAATGCCGACATATAATGAGAATATATATTTTGCATAGAACCAAAACACAATCTTATCTTATGCTTGAATAAATCATAAATAATAATCATTTCAAAAGAGACGCCACTTCATTCATTGCAAATATATTTGGGAATGCAGTGCACAAGTAAAAATAAAAAAGGGTTAATGCAAGAAATAGCAACAAACTTTCATTGATTTGTTTATTACAGCATCCTAAGTTCATATCTTCCTATTACAACATTATACATTGAAAAACCTACCAAATTACAACAATGTCATCCAAAAACAAAGCAACTTCCGCACTGTGATTGGATAGGTTTCAAGAAGTATAATAGAAAAAAAAAACGGAAAGTAAAATAACTAGGGGTGTTTGGGATTTGCTTATTTAAGGTGCTTATTAGCTTATTGTGGTTCGACACCTCTAATAAGCAGTCTTTAGTGTTCGGCTAGATTAAAATTAAAAGTGCCTATTGACTTGAATAAAGAATTTTTGATAAGTTAGTATATATATATATATATATATATATATATATATATATATATATATATATATATATACAACTTATCAGCACATTAGGTTTTGATAGCAGATAAGCATAAGTTATTTGAAATAAGCAGTCCCATACACCCAACAGGTAAATTTTTCAAAATAAGAAAAATGTTAAGGTAGAAAGTTGTAATAGAGAGAAAGTACATTGGTAGTTGTTGCAAGTAAAGTAATACCTGCAATGCATACGTTAGGCGTATATTTTCTTCAATAATGTCTTGTCTGTAAGAGAGAGCTTTAGATGCTGCATCAACCAGATCCTGCTGCTGCTGATCGAAAGCCTAATCATCATACATTTTATTTATTTAGTACATGTACATACATACATGGTGAAATAACTCATCAGAGGAGAGGACCATAAGTGAAAACACATTGCTCACCAGACGCATATAAGCAATTCGTTTCTCAAGAGCAAACTTCTCATTGTGTATTTGGGCTTCCTGTCAACCATAGTCTATTACTATTACTATTACTCCATGTCATTAAAGTAAAACAAAAAAAAAAAAAAAAAAAAAAGTCAGTTCAGTCATAACAACACACCACAATCAGCCCATTACCTTAATTGAATAGTCAACAAGATGCTTTCTCAACAGCAAAATCTCTTGCTCCTGATCTCGACTGTCAACAACAGCCTACATGCATAAATTATGAATATATATGTGATGTGATGTGAATACAGCATATACTTTTAACTCTATTTTATACTTTATGTAGTAAAGTATTTATATTACAATGAATATTATTTTCAGAAACCAAAACTACAATTTAACTAAAATCGTGAAATTTAAAAAATAACAATGAAGTGGGTCATATTACAATTTTTCATTTCATTCCATAATGGCTAAAGACAAAAAAAAAAAAACTTTTTTCCTCCAGGTTTTGCAAGATAACTATTTTTCCAACAGCTATTTTTTATGCCTTTCCATATAACAAAATATCACCACTTAAAAACTACTTGCATGTTATACAAAAGCGGTATGCACACAATTGCCATAACAAACATAAAGTCATAAACCATGGGTGTAAACATCATATCCAATTGAGGAAATGAAATTTTTAAATTCTGTAATTCAATGATACTAACAATAAAAATATAAAAATATACCTGGTTTATGGAGCTGCCTGCATTCTTTACCTCAGAAATTGGCACCAGCCCAGACACATTGAACTGCGGATCATATTCTCCTTCCAGTTGATACCTAACAGCATGTGTGTGTGTGAATTTGTTCTTTTCGATTTAGCTAAAGTACAATAATCCAAAATACCTCAAAGGAGAAAAGCCCCCATTTATGTTTTGAGTCTCCAACTGGCTCTCCCTTGAAACTTGAATCATTGGATCTACAGCATTCCCCATGTAATCTTTTTTGAGGACCAGTGTGGATCCATCTGTTGGACTCATGGCTCTATTTTTTGTCGGAGGTAGATACCTATGATCACTCCAATCATCCTCAGCCTTTGTATCACTCGATTTCTGCCACAAAATTAAAAACTCACTCTCCAAAGTATGCAGTTTGCCTTGCCAAATAACGACACAAACAAATGCTGCATTAAAAGTTGAATGGATTCTTTTTATAGTCCCATTATGATGTCTGTCTGGATTAACTATAAGGTTTCTTCTGTCCTACTCCTAGACTGAATAAATGAACTTTTACATTCCAATACTATTTTCACAGCATTCATCAATTTTAACTTGACAAGAGTTGAGAGGAAAAAAGAAGGCCAAATAGATAAAGAGGAAGCGTCTTAATACATTAATCCAGGTTCTTGGGCTTAAACCATGTCTGTCCAGATTAAGTGAAAAGAAACAGCCATTAAGACTTAAGCCCATCAAGTCCAAAAGGAACAGCCCTTTTATGAATGATGAAATAAAGGAATCTAGTTTACTGAAATTTGAGCTATCATACTTTGTAATGAGAGAGAGAGAGAGAGAGAGAGAGAGAGAGAGAGATGCGCCCATTTTTTATTTCAAATTAATAACATATTAAAATAAATATAAAAAAATAAAAAAACAAAAGGCATTTTCGTCTTTTCACATATACTTAACAGAATATTTTAACAAATTTTGTCATAAGGACCTTTTGTGTGCAAGGTTTGCCCAGTAAGGACCATATCAGGGAAAAACTGTAAAGCTAAAGGACCATCCGTATAATTTACTCTTATAATTAAAATGAAAATCAGATTACAAATAACAGCCTCCATGTAGGTTAATCGGTTTGTGTGACTCGCAATATGTGAAATCAACTTTGGAATCCCCATTCATCTAATATGACCCAAAAGTATTTGCACTGTTCAATTTCCAATTTTGCTGCTCAATCATTAAAGTAGATGGCTATTATAAAAAATGATAGGCCCTGTTAATCCATCAATTCATCTCATCATGGTGAATTATACTTATGATGCAAAAGAAGTATTCGTGACATTTAAATCCTATAAGTACTACGAAAACTAAAGTCTAAAACTATGGCATTTAAACTACCACAACTCCTATTGCAATTGTAATACATGATTGAAACAGACAGATTACGACATTTAAAACCTGAATACATAGTAACTATCTGCTGCATAAAGACTAAACTATTGATGTGCCCAATTTACGTAGAGATTAGAAGTACTCAGCCAAGAGCAATATCTGATGGGTGATAAATAGTCGAGTACTCTGATATTAAGAAGGTGATTTAAGTAAAGACTAGGGAGAAGATTTTATCACAACTGGTAAAAATAATGAGCTTGCATGTTAAAAGGAGAGAGAGAGAGAGAGAGAGAGAGAGAGAGAGAGAGAGAGGCAAATACATAGTTTTCAAGTTCCTGAATCTTCTTTTGTAGCTCAGACCTCAACCTATGATTCTCTTCCACCTGTCAATAGAGAAATTATACAAAAAATCAATATTAGATGTATAATAATATTACAAAAACATAGTGTTAAAAAGTAAATACTTAAAGGTCCGTGATAAGGAACAGGTCAGTCCAACTAACAAGCCCACCAAAGAGCCCAGGCCTTGGAAGGTCTACTCACGCAAGAAGAAAATAGGACAGGTGTAAAGTGATGTCATAGTTTGTTGCATCACTAGAGAGGCACTATATATATCTAGTTGAATGTTAGAATAAGGGTGTGGAGAGAATATTTTCTGTTAGAGAGAATCGGCTAGTGGCTAGCTTGGGCAGGAAGAGTAGTTATTGGCTCTGTTCTCTGACATTCCATTTTGTTATTCCTTCCATTATCGTTTCAGAAATAAATCAAGCATTCAACCATTATTCGTGAATCTATCTTATTATCAGCTATTTGCTTAACCTAAACCTTTCTTATCAATTGGTTCCATTGCCCTGTTTCTCCCCCTCCATCACCATGCCTGATAACACTGATGCTCACGTTACCACTCGTCTCCAATCTCTCCATAATAGAATGAATACTCAGGAGGGGAAAATGGACCAGATCTCAACACAGATGCAGGAATTGACTGTCTCTTTTTCATCCTTGAAGGAGCTCATGGAGAAAATGGTGCAAACTTCTCTCAACCGCCCTGACCGTCCTGTTGAAGAAGGTGCTTCCTCCGGCACCTTCCTCCGCTCCGGCCTCTCCAATCCCCTTTTCCAACCCACAGACGATTCGTTGTTCTCTCTACCGAAGGTCAAATTACCTGTGTTTGATGGAGAAGACCCTCGTGGGTGGATAACCAAAGCTGAACTCTACTTTTCCGTTCATCAAACCGCAGATTCCAACAAATTAAAGCTTACTCAGATGTGTATGGAAGGTTCTGCACTCAATTGGTTCACCACGTTGTTGTTCAAACATCCCCAATCCACTTGGGAACAATTCAAAGACAAACTCATCACTCGATTTGGTGGTTCTCAATTCCTGAACGCACATGAAGCTCTGGGCTCTCTTTTTCAGGAAACCGACATCGACACCTACATTGAGCAATTTGAGTCAATCTCTGCCCTCATTCCCGATCAATCTGAAGACCAGTCCCTTGGGATGTTCTTACGTGGTCTTCAACCAACCATACGAAACTGGGTTCGTGCTCTACGCCCCAATACCTGTGACACCACAATGGAATTAGCTCGCCATGTTGCCACCGCCACAACCACCCCTGCCGATTCCACAACTTTCAAACGGAAGACTTCTTCATTTGGATCGGGCTATCCACCATGGAAAGGTACCTTTTCTCCGGCCCAATCCTCTCCTAAACCCACTGATCTGCTTAGCCCAACACCGAGACCCGCGCCTACTCCGGGTCAAACCATGGGTAAACCTCCAAACCCGACCCGATCTACTACTACTACACCCCGACCCAATCGCACCAAACACCTCACCAAACATGATTAGGAGGAACGCCGTCGTCTAGGGCTCTGTTTCAGCTGCGGTCAAAAGTACTCCCCCCAACATAAATGTACCGATGGTCAATTTCGTGTGCTGCTGCTTACTGATGGTGATATTGTCAATGATTCTGATGACCTTTGTCATCTCGATTCCGACCCAATAGAAGATACGCCCGTCGACGGAGAATGCCATGTGTTAGATTCTCATGGTTTCACTTCCGATCTCTCTACTTCACTACGCACCTTGAAGCTTGCGGGTCAGCTCCACGGTTTCACAGCTCTTATGTTGGTTGATGGTGGTGCCACATACAATTTCATCTCCAAAACAGTAGTATCAGCTTTGGGTCTCCCCATCTCTCGCACAAAACCTTTGTCTATCAGTTTGGGTGACGGTACCAAGGTCACGATGGATGAAATCTGCAAAGGTATTCCACTGTCCATGGGTTCCTATTCTTGTACAGTTGATGCTCTTATTTACGAACTAGGATCTTTGGACATTATTTTGGGCGTTGCTTGGCTGGGTACGCTAGGAGACATTGTGTTTAATTGGTTGAAACAGGAGATGCGTTTTTGGTTCCAGGGTTCACAGATTACATTACAGGGCATTTCTCCTACACCTCCACATCACTCCCTTAATTCATGGCTGGAACTCCATCTGAACACCATCACCGATCCTCCGGAACCCACCACTACCCTCTCTACTACACAGCAAGACCAATTAAATGTTATCCTATCACAATTTACACCATCATTTCAATCTCCGCAAGGGCTTCCTCCTGTTCGTTCTATTGAACACCGTATCACCTTGCTCGCGGGACAGGGTCCTATCTGTGTACGTCCTTATAGATACCCTCATCTCCAAAAAGATGAGATTCAACGCCAGGTCGAGGAGATGCTCTCTACTGGAATTATTCGCCTAAGCCATAGTGCTTTCTCCAGTCCAGTTATACTTGTCCGCAAGAAGGATTCTTCCTGGCGACTCTGTATTGACTATCGAGCTCTTAACCCTGTTACAATCCCTGACAAGTATCCAATTCCAGTTGTCGAGGAACTACTCGATGAACTTCATGGCTCTGCTTTCTTTTCGAAGATCGACCTTAAATCCGGATTTTATCAAGTCCGGATGTGCGAATCGGATGCCCATAAGACTGCTTTCCGTACTCATAATGGCCACTATGAGTTTTTAGTTATGCCTTTTGGGCTAACTAATGCGCCTTCTACATTTCAGGCCTTAATGCATGAAGTTTTCCGCCCACTTCTTCGTAGGGGTGTTCTGGTCTTTTTTGACGACATATTAGTCTACAGCACAAATTGGGACTCCCATCTTCAACTCCTTACCCAGGTGCTCCTACTCCTACAAGACCACAAATTGGTCATTAACAAAAAGAAAAGCTCGTTTGGTATCCAATCAGTTGAATATCTTGGCCACATTATTTCACAACAGGGCGTTTCCATGGATCCTCAAAAGATCACTGCTGTCCAAGCTTGGCCTACACCAAAAAACGTGAAAGGAGTTCGGGGTTTCCTAGGCCTCACGGGCTATTACCGAAAGTTCATTCCAGGGTATGGCAAGATTGCCCGCCCTCTAACTGAGTTGACAAAAAAAGACAAGTTTTCTTGGGGGTCTGAAGCACAAGCGGCTTTCGATCTTCTGAAACATACAATGACCACAGCCCCTTTTCTCACACTTCCTGATTTCTCCAAACCATTCGAAATTAAATGTGATGCATCAGGCCATGACTTGGGGCTGTCCTCATGCAATCTCGCAAGCCAATTGCTTATTTTAGCAAGACACTGTCTGACAAAACGCTCTCCAAATCTGCGTACGAAAAAGAATTGATGGCTCTCGTCTTAGCAATTCAACACTGGCGACCATATCTTTTGGGGCGATCTTTCACAGTTTTTACTGACCAAAAGAGCCTCAGCCATCTACTAGAACAACGCATTACCACCACTGACCAACAAAATTGGCTTGCCAAACTTATCGGATACAATTTCTCTATTCTCTACAAACCGGGACGAGATAATCGTGCTGCCGATGCTCTCTCCCGTGCCTCCAAAGCTCCAGACCTTCGCACCCTATTGTCATACCCTTGTTGGCTGGATGGCGATTCCTTGTTGGAGGGTTTCGAGGCTGATTCTCAACTTAAAAAAATCGTTTCTGATTTACAGGCCAACCCTTCTTCACATCCTGGTTTTTCCCACATCCAGGATAAACTATACCACAAAGGCAAATTGGTCATTCCAGCTTCTTCACGTTGGATTCCTCAGCTGATTGCGGAATTTCACAACAGTCCTACTGGGGCCACTCGGGGTTTTACCGGACTTACCGACGTTTAGCAGCCCAAATTTATTGGATCGGTATGACCAAAACTATCAAAGCTTATGTCCAGGCTTGTGACACTTGTCAACGCTACAAACATTCAACTCTTGCTCCTGCGGGTCTTCTACAGCCACTTCCTATTCCATCGCGCATATGGGACGATATCTCATTGGATTTTATCACAGGCTTACCCAAATCAAAAGGGCATGCAATGGTCTTGGTAGTTGTTGACCGACTGTCCAAATATTGCCACTTTATACCTTTAAAACATCCTATCACAGCTCGTTTCCTCGCTGAAATCTTTGTCAAAGAAGTGATATGGTTACATGGTCCACCCAAGACCATCCTTAGTGACCGTGATCCTTTGTTTCTAAGTAAATTTTGGACGGAGATTTTTAAGCTACAAGGGAGTCACTTGAAATTTAGCTCCGCATATCACCCGGAATCCGACGGTCAAACTGAGGTGGTCAACCGTAGTCTTGAAACATACCTCCGATGTTTTGCATGTGAGCAACCCAAGACTTGGTCCCACTGGCTTCCATGGGCAGAATTCTGGCATAACTCTGATTACCATGTATCCACAAATACCACTCCTTTCCATATAGTCTATGGTCGTCCTCCTCCGACAATTTTTCAGTACACACAAGGTGAGATCAGTTGTGAATCAGTGGCATCGGATTTGGCTGATCGAGACGAGGCACTATCACAGCTTAAATACCACCTTGCACGCTCCCAATCCTACATGAGGACTTATGCAAATAAACACCGACGGGACATCGAATTTTCCGAAGGGGACTGGGTCTTTCTCAAATTGCGTCCCCACCGTCAACAATCAGTTATTCGTCGGATCAACCAAAAACTATCACCTCGCTTCTATGGGCCTTTTCTCATCACAGCTCGTGTTGGTCCAGTTGCTTATCGCCTCCAATTACCAGATTCTTCAAAAATACACCTCGTGTTTCACATCTCCCTTCTTAAACGTGCCATTGGGAACCATCAAGCTGAACCTTCATTGCCCCCCGGGCTCGAAATGGACTCCACCACCCCTCCACACCCACTGCAATGTTTAGCTACTCGCACTGTCACAAAGGGAGACTCTCAAGTCGAAGAATGGCTCATTCAATGGGAAAATCAAACAGTTTCTGAGGCAACATGGGAAGACGCTTTTGCCATCCAGACTTCTTTCCCTACCTTTGGACTTGCGGACAAGTCCACTTTTCACGACCCCGGCATTGATAAGGAACAGGTCAGTCCAACTAACAAGCCCACCAAAGAGCCCAGGCCTTGGAAGGTCTACTCACGCAAGAAGAAAATAGGACAGGTGTAAAGTGATGTCATAGTTTGTTGCATCACTAGAGAGGCACTATATATATCTAGTTGAATGTTAGAATAAGGGTGTGGAAAGAATATTTTCTGTTAGAGAGAATCGGCTAGTGGCTAGCTTGGGCAGGAAGAGTAGTTATTGGCTCTCTTCTCTGACATTCCATTTTGTTATTCCTTCCATTATCGTTTCAGAAATAAATCAAGCATTCAACCATTATTCGTGAATCTATCTTATTATCAGCTATTTGCTTAACCTAAACCTTTCTTATCAGTCCGCATATGTAATTGACTTTCTTCTCTCTTGTCATTTTAATTCCTTAATCAATATGGATTCTTGTTTTATAATGTTTTCATTTATTACACCATATAGGTGGTATGCACAAGAAGGTTCAGTCAATATCCCCAACCATTCACAAACTCAGATTAATGGTAACATCAAACACAATCTATTATCCTTCTTTACTTTCAGATTGTATTGCTAGTATCTGCTTTCACGGTTTGTGTCTCCGTAAAGTATTTACATTTTACCCTTTCCTCACTTCACTTTCAGCTTTATTGTTTGTATTGTTTTTTTATTTGGTCACACTCACACACCACTATTTGTGGGCAATCAGTTTTTACTTTTTCCTTATGTCATAGATCATCAATGACAGCTTGTGCCCCATCAATAGTTAACATATTTATGATCCTTACAAGAAGAACAATATCATTTTGGTAGTGCATTTGGTAAGAATTAGAATCTCGAATTCCATTATGTGGCTTGTTTGGTTGCCAAACCAACCAAATTGAATGCCATTCTTCATTTGTTTTTTTCATTACAAAACCAATTCGTTCTTCCTTTAACATAATGTGCATTCTAATATCGTTGAGGGTCCTACAAACCAAGCAGAAAATCACAGATTGAATTTCGTTCACTTGACAGGTTAAAGTTCCTTCATATTCCAATTCCTTTGACGGATTCCATTCCTTCCAAAATATTCTGTGAACCAAGTGGCCCCATCAGCATCATGTCAAGAACTAAAACCAACAAGATAAAGAAAGTCACCACAATACGCGATAACCTTTCTCCTCTATTTTAGATTTTGTATGCTTATATGTTTGGATTAGAGCTTAACCCAGATTGTGGAAGACAACAAGCCCTAAAATGACACAAAATCCTATCATTTTTTAGGGAATGGCAAATAATTGCCAAAGATAAGAGAAAAACTACACTCCCAAAGTATCGGTCGACTAAATTCAGATAAATGTAACCATGGATTCAATGCAATAAAGGCGTAGAGAATAGAGATATTGAATCAAATAGTTGAGTTTACTCAAGATCTGAGAGTAAAAAAAAACAAAAAAAAAAAAAAAAAAAAAAAACCTGTTGTTTGATGGTGGCCTCAGCAGCTTCAACGGCTTTCATAACCTGAAACAATCCATCACTCTTGTTCATGCCATTAGTGTTGGTGTAGCCATTAACACTAGAGCCAATAGTCAAGGCAGACAAGTGCTGTGTCAAACTGCCTCCTCCATTTTCCATCTTCAGTTTGGTAATTAATTCTATTTTTAACTGATGACTTATCTGCAATGCAATAGCAAGTTCCAACAATATGTTATCTCAAGGTTTTATTTCATTAAAATAATGAAAAATATCACCTTTAATCCGCTGATAGCACGGATACGACTAAACAGCTGATGCTTCAAGGGAATAATAGAAAGGCGTCCGCCATTTCTTGAACCAAGACCCAAGCATGACCCATTACCAACAAATTTTTACCCACAAAAACTGAAAAACGTAGCAGCCTGTAGCCACCCATTCATTAAACGCCTCTGGTTTATCCGAATTTCTGGCAACTGGTTATCTATCTATGGTGGATAAGATCCTAGAAATGAAGGGTGCAGCTGGATGATTTGAAGCAGGGTCAAGTCACAAAAATTATAGTCATAAGGCATGTAAACAACATTAATTAATACAAATTAGCAAATAACTTGCAATCAGAATAAAAAAAAGACTCCACTTTCCCTACAAGTAAAAAACCCCAATTTAGATACAAATAAGCAAACCTTACAGTATTCAGATTCAGGTATTCAGAAATCGAATTAGCATTTAATAAGGTAGCAAAATGTACAGTTCAAGATCAGAAATCCGAGCAAATATTCCGGTTCAATCAGAATTTGGATTAGCAAAAACAATACAATATTTGGTTTTCAGAATCAGAAATAAAACTTCGGTCTATGATGTATGTTTGGTGGGCTTTCACACTGGGTTTATACATAAATCTTTGGTGTTTCAAAATCTGGAATACACTATTAAAGTTTGGTTGTTTCCAAAGTGCATTTGTTTTTCAAATAATCCACACAGACTAACTACTCAAGCAATATGATGCTGGTTAATTCACATCTCTGCATTCAGTTAGTTCAAAGTTTGAGATCTTCTTGCCCTAATTTGATAATCTAATATAAACAAATGAGTAATTTGTTTCAAAAAAACTGATTCAAACCAACTAATAGTCAGTGTAGAAAGTATAAACAAATGAAGCTTGAACTGTTTCAGAGGAAAAAGGAATAAGATTTTGCATAACAGTATGTCCAGAACGAAATATTTAGAACGGTACCTAAAACTCGATTTCAAAGTATTGACCTGACTTGCCAAAGTTACCCTAGGTTTAGCGTCTGTCTTCGAACTCGATTTTCAGAAGTCTTGGAGTCAATTTTGCAGGAAACGCGGTTTGCGAAAGTAACCCAACTTGGAAGTTCGAACTACTCGATGAAAATTAGAGGCCAAAGGACATAGAAATCGGATGAAAGTTGTGAAATTTGGGGTTTTAACGGAACCAAATCACCAGACTCCCTTGACTTGGAACTTTGGATTGTAAATCCCTAAACCAAAAACTTGTTAATGATTCCATCCCTCGGATGAATCGCGTACTAAAACCCATGTTTTTAAGGGTAACGATATCTATGAAAATATAGAAACAAAGAAGGAACTAAAAAACATTTGTTTATTTTTATTTCATTTGGTGTAACTTTAGATTTTTTTTTTTTAACCGGCAAATATTATTAATAAAACAAACAAACCTCTAGCAAGGTGCTATAGCGGAAAATACAAGGTTTTAGACAAGAGAAATACATACATAGAAAGGGGTTAATACACCATTCAACCCAATTATAATTACAATTGATTCTCCTGTGTTTTATCCATGAATATACTATGGATTTTACCATATCCGCCACTTTAGTAGGGGAGGTACGAATCTTCTTGAAGATCCAGTCACACTTGTTTTCCAAATGAGCCAAGCCGTTCCAGAACATATGCTAATTAAGTTTTTCTGTTTGATTGGACATGTTCCCCACTGTGAAAGAAATTTCTCGAGCTCCCCGATTGTCACAAATTTTCTTTCACCAAGCCCACACCATATGATTACCCATTCCCATACCTTGACAGCCATTAGGCATCTTAGTATTACATGGTTGACATCTTCATCTTCCAATTCGCAGTAGGAACATGTGGAAGTCACGTTTTGCACCCCACGTTTAAGCAGGGCGGTAGCAGTTGGTATGCGGTCCATAGATGCCCTCCACATAAAACAATTTACCTTTAACGGGACTTCATGAATCCGGTTGATTAGACCTTCCCCTGTTGGTGTCAACGTATTTCTCCCATCAATTTTTGATCTAAGTACATCTACATGAAATACCTTATCGCTTGATATGCTGCATATCCATTCATCTCTCCGAGAATTCAGTTGAAAGTTGCAGACCAAGTCGAGGAGTGTGTCAGCCTCGCTTAGCTGCACCGTGAGTGTCGGGCTTGCTTTCCAATCCCAGCTGATGTCTCCTGGTTTGATACGCTCACTGATTTTACACCGCTTCTTCCGTTCCAACTTGTATAACTCTGGGAAGGATTCTTTTAATGTTGCATCTCCAATCCATCTATCATGCCAGAACATGGTGTCATCTCCATTACCAATTTTTTTTAGATTATGTCGTTTATGTCAATTCCAAGTTTTGCCAATTCTTCTTGAATCCCGGTGATGTTTTTCCATACTCCAGGTGAAGTTTTTTTACACATGAGGGCAGCAGGTTTATTATGAAGATTATGGATCCCTTTTATGACTTTGGACCATAAGCTTGCTTTTTCAAATCTCAGCCTCCACCACCACTTCACGATTAGGGACAAGTTGAAAGCTTTGAGCGAGCCTAATCCCAGCCCGCCATTCTTTTTGGGAGCAGTCACTTTATCCCATGCCACCCAGTTGATATGTTTTTTTCTCATCTGCCCCTCCCCATATGAATTTTTGCCTTATCTTTTCCAAAGTCTTGATAACACCTGCAGGAGCAACAAACAAGGAAAAATAGAATGTTGGAATGCTGCCAAGGACAGCTTTCGATAGTGTTAGCCGACCCCCAAGCAATAAGGATCTCGATTTCCATGTACTCAGTCTAGCTTGTAATTTTTCGATTACCGGTTTCCAGTTCTTTAGGAGGCTCATATTTGCCCCGATGGAAACTCCAAGGTAAGTAAACGGAAGCTTGGATGGCTCACATCCAAGGGGTGTTGCAAGGGTTTCAACTTCATGATGTTCAACCCCGATGCCAAACACTCTTGATTTGGAGAAGTTCACTTGAAGCCCAAAAGACACATGGAAGCACCGGAGGATTCTAGCCAGATTCTTGATGTTTTCCTCACTCCATTCCCCCACAAAGAGTGCATCATCTGCGTAGAACAGATGTGACACACATAGGGAACTATTTGGGATATTTTTTCCTTTGAAAATTCCTTTTCCTGTGGCCTCTTTCATCACGATGTTCAGCCCTTCCATGGCTATTATGAATAAGAATGGTGAGAGGGGGTCACCTTGTCTTATTCCACGGCCAAATTCGAATTCATTGGTAGGTGATCCATTGACTAGAATCGACGCACGTGAGGATCTTAGGCAGCCTTGAATCCACCCTCTCCATCGTTGTCCAAATCCCATTTGCATTTGAATGTGGTCCAAATATTCCCAATTCACAGTGTCAAAGGCTTTGTTGAAATCAGCTTTGAAGAGAAGCATTTTTTCGTTTGCCTTCTTAGTCTAGGAGCACATTTCGCTTATTATTAGGGGACCATCTAGGATATTCCTTCCCGCCACAAAGGCCGATTGTACTTCTCCGATACATAAACCAATTATCCTTGCTAGTCTAGCAGAGAGAGATTTTGCAATGATTTTATATAAGCTGCCAATGAGACTAATTGGTCTGTAGTCGACGATTTTTAAAGGATCCTTTATCTTAGGGATGAGGGTGAGAAATGAGGCATTGCATCCTCTGCTAATTACACCGAAACGTTCAAAGTATTTGACGGCTTTCACAATATCATCTTTCAGGATGTCCCAATACCTTTTAATGAACTTGAACGTATAGCCATCCGACCTGGAGCTTTTTCGTTCCCACAAGCCCATATTGCCTCTTTTATCTCTTCAATCGTGAATGGACTTTCAAGACTATCTCGAGTGGTTGGATCAATAGAAGAAAAGTTCCTGCTGTTGAACTTGGGTCTAGAGGCCCATCTTTCTTGGAACTTTGCCTGGTAGAAGCTAAAAATTCCTGATTTTATTGCTTCAGGCTCAGTAACCCTCCATCAATTAACAAGCCTGAAATTTTGCTTTTCCTCCTCTTGTTGTTGACGAATCCATGAAAGAAGGCTGTGTTTTCGTCACCATCAATAATCCATTTAATTTTTGCCCGTTGTTTGATATCCAAGACCGCCATTTTTTCCAATTCAAGTATTCTTTGAAATCCTGCCCTTCTTTCTGCTATCTCGAATTCAGTGAGTTCACGCTCTTCCGCCGCCAGATCAATATCATGTACTCTCTTTTTCGTATCATGCAGTTCCTTTACCTCTTTGGGGTAATCAATGGCTCGCCATTTCTTAATCTCGTTTTTTAGGAATTTCAATTTAGCCTTCAAATACGAATCAGGTGCACCGAATCCTCTGAATTCCTCCCACGCCTTTCTTACAATAATGTCGAAGCCATCTCAGTTAAGCCATGAATTAAAGAACCAGAATGGGGGTTTTCCAAAATCCGGGAGTGTTGTTTGCAGTACTATCGGGCAATGGTCTGATAACTCTCTTGGGTGAGTGGTGACTGAGGGGGAGGGGAATGCTGCTATGAAATTATTTCAAACCAAAAATCTGTCTAGTTTGCTGAGCTTGAAATTCGACTGGCATAGGAATGTGAATCTATTACCACCCATTCTAATGTCATGAAGGCCAGCCTCCGAGATGAAACGATTAAAATGGAATGCAGAGGATGGACAAAATTGAGACTTAATACGCTCTTCCCTTCTTCTTACAGTGTTAAAGTCTCCGAACATTACCCAGGTACCTGGTTTCTCGTTTTTGATTTGGAGTAGTTTATCCCATAATTGTTTCTTCTCTGCTGAATCATGAGGCCCATAGATATTTGCAAACATTGTGTCACCCGGGATACCTTCCCACTTCCCGATTGTAATCAAGAAGTGTCTTGATTTAATGGTATCAGATACAACATACAAGTTTGAATCCCACATATTTAGAAGTCCACCTGATCTGCCTGAATATTGAATTGCGGAGAAGCCAAATTCGTCCGAGTCCCAGCAGCCCTCCACATCTATTTCATCTGTGTTAACTAATTGCGTTTCTTGGATCCCTAGGAACGAGATCTTGTGCGTCGTTTTAAGCCTCTTTACCCATTTTACTTTGGTCACTTCGCCGATTCCCCTGACATTTAGGCTAAGGCAATTCATTGGGGACCCATGTTCTCACCGTCTTCTCCCATTACCTCTCTAAGAATGGGGTCGTCAGGGTCAATATCGAACCCCAACTCCTTACCAACTCTAGCGGTTTTAATTCTTTCTGAGACCTGGTTAGATTCAGCATCTTCAACTTCCATTAACATAGTTTGATTTGTCGGAGGGGTGTTGAGATCGATTAGGCTATTTGTGCGCTCTGTAGGCGATGATGCTGGGAGCGATATTGAATGTGGGGGCAGGTCTTGATTTGGTAGACTGGGCATTGGGGGTATAGAAGGAATTGTGATTCCATTCTCTCTGGATAATAATCTCCATCTTTTCCCATTAGACTCACCAATTTTGAGTTGTTGAGTTGGGTTAGTCGATGCCAATGGGGGTGGAGAAGGCCCAAAACAGCCCACATGGGGGAGCCCATTAGAAGGTTCAGTATTTTTTGATGTTGGGTTGGTTGTAGGCAGTGCACATGGGGTTGTTGTCACGTGACCTGCATTGTGGGTGGAGCCGTCAGGAGTTAATGTCACCATGTTCCTAGGAGTCGCTACATCTTCCATCATCGTTGGTTCAATCACCCTCGCTCCTTCCCCATGTGACTGTTCATCTTCCAGGTTCGACGTCCCAGCTGTCGTCGCTGGAACCATATCATTCTCCGATGGATTTTCTGTATCGTTTCCCATTTCGCCATCTATCCGTTGTGTTTCGAATCGAAATTCCCCTTCTTCCATATCCTCTTCTATAGCATTGCTTTCTTCATAAAGATCTTCTGACAAGTCAAAGTTGAAAGGGAACCAATCTTCATCAAACTCAATTATGCCCAGGCTATAAACCTGGTTCCATCTCAATTATGCCCAGGCTATAAACCTGACAATTATGCCCAGGCTTCATCAAACTCAATTATGCCCAGGCTATAAACCTGACGGGTCAAAGTTGAAAGGGAACCAATCTTCTGACGGGTCAAAGTTGTATAATGTATAGTATAAAATTACATAAGTAGTCGGGTTTGAATACGAAATGTCACGAACTTAGTTTTGATTAAAAGAGTCCTTATGATTCTAGAACTTATATGGTTGGTCCAGAAATAACTTTAAAAATACAAAACTGCAAAAATGGTTCCTCTAATATGCATTTTTTCTGGTTTTCCGTCCGAACCTCGATTTTTATAGCTTCGTGGTTCTTTTGACCATGTTTGTTTGTGATTTGGTCCATTGAAAAACTAAAAAGACTAAAATGTCCTTCTAATACACTTTTTATATTTTTCTATTTAATTTAAAGTTTTATTAATTAGAAAAATTAAGGATCTCTGTGTGTGTATTTGTGTTTGATAAACACCTAAAAACATATTCATATATTCAAGAACACTCAAGAGCATCGTCCGCCACCACCACAATCTACCACCACTACCTTTTGCCACCTCCATCTCCACCTAAACTTTTCTTGTCACTTCATCTCCACCAAAAAATATCCCAGAAACAAAATCTATACACAAAATATAAGTTTGATCTTGAGTTCGCCCCTATTTGATGAATACACACACAAAATCAGATTTGATGAACTGTGACAACCCAAAATTTTCTATTACTTTGAAAGCTCAATCAGTCAACTCAATTTAGTGTCAGACTCATTTTAGTTATCATTTAGCACAATTTAGAGTCTGTTTGAGGTTCTGAGCCTTGTACACTTAAGGGATAAGTGTTAGGGTTTATCTACTGAAGCTATAGTACAAAAATCAGGCCTAAAACACCACGACCATGAGTTCACGGCCACCACACTGGAGTTTACGACCGTAAACTCCATGTGGGCCGTAAACTCACACTATATGATCAAGCGTTGGCCATTTTTCTCATTCTTTCCTTTCCTTGGCTGATTTTCCTTCAAATCCTCTCAACTATCATCCTGATCTTCACCTTAGATCTTCAATAATAGTAAGTATTCTTCCTTGACTTGTTGATACACCTCTTAATCTAGTATTCTCTCATGAGTTCATCCATGAAAATCATGTTGTCATAGATCTTCAAGTTTCACCAAGAACACACACTAGTGTTCTTGGCCAAAACCGACCATTTCAAGCTCCTATATCATAAGTACTCTTGTTCTAACTTGTTATGTACTAGATTAAACATGTTTAGGCCTTATAAACATCAAGATTTAAGGGTTGGATGAGAGTTTACGGCCAAGG